TCTCCTTTGGCACCACCGCCTTGGTCACCCCTCCTTGCGTCGTCTCCGAGGCATCCCGTGTCCTTGTCTCTGGTCTTCCTCGGTCTCTCCCTCCCCTTCCTCCGGGGCCTGGCCCTACCTGTGTCCCCTTCGTTGAGGGGCGACAGCGCGCCGCCCCTCACTCCTCCGAGTTTCCTCCGACAGAGGCTCCGCTGCAGACTCTTCACATGGACGTGTGGGGCCCCGCTCGCGTCCGTGGCCAGGGTCACGAGCGTTACTTCCTGTTGGTGGTTGACGACTACACGCGTTACACAACAGTCTTCCCCTTGCGCAGCAAGGGTGACGTCACTGAGGTGTTGATCGACTGGATCCGCGCAGCTCGTCTCCAGCTCAGAGAGAGTTTCGGCTCGGACTTTCCTGTTCTGCGTCTGCACTCGGACAGAGGCGGGGAGTTTTCCTCTGCCTGTCCAGGAGCCTTCTGTCATGCACACGGCATCCGCCAGACCTTCACCCTTCCGGCCTCTCCACAGCAAAATGGGATTGCTGAGCGCCGCATTGGCATGGTCATGGACGTCGCACGTACGTCCATGATGCATGTGGCTGCCCCCCATTTTCTGTGGCCGTTTGCGGTTCAGTACGCCGCGCATCAGCTCAACCTTCAGCCCCCGGTCTCCTTGCCCGAGACCTCCCCCGCCTTGCGGAGGACAGGGAAGGTTGGCGATGCGTCTGCGTTTCGGGTCTGGGGATCTCGGGCGTTTGTCCGCGACTTGTCTGCGGACAAGCTGTCTCCCCGTGCTGTTCCTTGCGTCTTCCTTGGCTTCCCCCCTGATGCGCCTGGCTGGCGGTCTTACCACCCCACCACGCGTCGTGTTCTGTCCTCCCAGGACGTCACCTTTGGCGAGTCGGTGCCTTACTACTGTCTCTTCCCCTACCACACTGTGCCCCTCCCCTCGCCGCCGCTCTTCCTTGCGCCAGGAGCTACCCAGGTAGACCCCCTCCCTCCTCAGGGTCCCGCCCCTTCAGGTGTGTCCCAGGTAGATGCAGTCGAGCCTGTCGAGGTAGCTGTTGACTCTGGTGCTGCTAGAGGTGCTGAGCCTGCGTGTGCCGAGTCTGCGGAAACCGGGTCTGGGGGTGCTGAGTCTGGGGGTGCTGAGACTGGAGGTGCTGAGCCTGGGGGTGCTGAGTCTGGGGGTGCTGAGCGTGGGGGTGCGGAGCCTGGGGGTGCTGGGTCTGCTCGTGTGGCCGCCGGCGGTGCTTCATCGAGGCGGGAGCCGCTCTCCCCGCAGGAGCTGCGCGAGTGGTTCGCTCGCCGCTGGAGACGTGCTGCTGAGTCTGGAGGTGCTACTGGAGCTGCTGTCGCTGCTGGTGCTGCTGGTGGTGGTGCTGCTGGGGGTGTTGGCGCTGGTGTTTCTCCTGGTGCTGGTGCGTCTAGGGGTGCTGTTGAGGCAGCTCGTGCTGACGGTTGTGCTGTAGTTTGTGCGGCAGGAGCTGGAGCTACTGGGGGTGTTGGCGCTGGTGTTTCTACTGGTGCTGGTGCGTCCGTGGGTGCTGCAGAGGCAGCTGGTACTGACGGTCTTGCTGGAGTTGGTGCTGCTGGAGCTGGAGCTGCTGGGGGTGTTGGCACTGGCGGTGCTGCTGGTGCTGGTGCTTTTGAGGGTACTGGAGTTGGCGCTGTTGGAGCTGGAGGTTCTAGTGGCGCTGGTGCTGCCGCTGGGGGTCCTGGTGCCGTACTTGCTGGTTCTGGAGGCGCTGCACGGCCGAGGCCGTACCTCGTTCCGCTCCTGGAGAAGGTTCTTGGTCTCCCTCCCTCTTCTGGTCCTGCTCCTCCCTTAGAGTGTCCAGAGCCTGTCCAATCGTAGTCACAGTTACAGCCCGCCTCCCCGCTACCTGCTCCTTCTCCCTACACTGGTCCTACTGGAGGTCTTGCTGAGCGTCGTGAGCCTGCGTCTCGTCCTGCGTCGCCTGTTCGTGCTGCTCACACTGGTCGTAGTACTGCGCGTTCGCGTCCTCTTGCGGACCCCGGCACGGACCAGATGGCACTGCGTCCATCCACTGCTCCTCTTCGTGTCCCTTTGCCGTCTCCTCCAGAGTCCTCTCTTCCTTCTCTTGCTGACCCGGAGTCTGACTCCCTTTGTGCTGCTAGTCCTTCGGTTACGCGCCTTCTTGCTACTGTTGTCACTGACCCTACCTTTGAGTCCACTGCTGCGTCTGCTCTAGTTGCTGAGCTTGTCGACTTCGCTGCTCGCTGTCGTCTAGACTACGCTGCCAGTCTTGTTGCTGAGTCTGAGTCTGTATGTCCTCCGTCCGTCGGGGGTGAGTGTGCTCTTAGCACGGACGTCCTTCAGGACACGCAAGAGGAGTTCCTGTGCTTTGCTGCTGCTTTGCCCCATCTCGTGTCCACGCTGATTGCCCCTGAGGGAGACCCGGATGCACCAGACATCCCGACTCCTCGATCGTACGCTGAGGCGATCGAGGGTCCCTACTCCTCTCAGTGGCAGTCGGCCATGGACGCAGAGATGGCTTCCTGGAAGTCCACAGGCACCTACGTCGACGAGGTTCCCCCACCTGGGGCGAACATCGTCAGTGGCATGTGGATTTTCAGGGTGAAGCGGCCGCCGGGTTCTCCGCTTGTCTTCAAGGCGCGTTACGTGGCTCGAGGCTTCAGTCAGCGGCAGGGAGTTGACTACTTCCAGACCTTCTCTCCCACCCCAAAGATGACCACTCTTCGGGTGCTGCTGCACATAGCCGCTCAGCGCGACTATGAGCTTCACTCACTTGACTTCAGCACAGCTTTCTTGCAGGGCACCCTGCACGAGGAGATGTGGCTGCGCCGCCCACCTGGCTTCACTGGGTCGTTTCCTCCTGGTACCCAGTGGAGCCTCCGGTGGCCAGTCTACGGTCTCCGCCAGGCGCCCCGTGAGTGGTACGACATACTGAGGACTACACTTGCGGCTCTTGGCTTTGCTCCTTCTACAGCCGACCCGTCGCTGTTTCTGCGCACCGACACCTCTTTGCCGCCGTTCTATATCCTCGTGTACGTCGACGACTTGGTCTTTGCCATTGCTGACACTGCTGGACTCGCCCACGTGAAGTCCGAGCTGCAGAAGAGACACACGTGCACAGACCTGGGTGAACTGCGCAGCTACCTTTTCTTGCAGATCACCCGGGACAGAGCACAGCACACCATTACCCTAACTCAGTTACACATGGTGCAGCAGGTCCTTCAACGCTTCGACTTCACGTACTCCTCGCCTCAGGCCACTCCTCTATCTACTCGCCACTTGCTCTCAGCTCTGCCTTCGGATGAGTTCTTAGAGCCGAGTGGCCCGTACCCAGAGCTTGTTGGCTGCCTCATGTACCTGATGACCTGCACACGACCTGACCTTGCATACCCTCTTAGCATCTTGGCACGCTATGTTGCTCCTGGGAGACACAGACCAGAGCACATGGCTGCAGCGAAGAGGGTGTTGCGCTATGTGTGCAGTACGTCGGGCATGGGGCTAGTGCCTTGAGGGCGACGTCGGGTAGTCCTCACAGGTCACGCTGACTCTTCTTGGGCTGACGACCAGGCTACGCAGCGGTCGTCACAGGGTTACACCTTCAGCTTTGGCTCCGGCTCTGTTTCGAGGCGGTCTACCCGCTCGTCCTCTGTTCTCGGCTCCAACTGTGAGGCTGAGATCTACGCAGGGGCCATGGCTGCACAGGAGCTACGCTGGCTCACCTACCTGCTGACTGACCTAGGAGAGCCGCCTCGTTCTCCTCCAGTTCTGTACGTAGACAACAAGGCCATGCTGGCCTTGTGTCGGGAGCACAGACTGGAGCACAGAACGAAGCACATTGCTCTCCGCTACTTACTATCTCGTGAGCTGCAGCAGCGTGGTCAGCTCCGCCTCACCTACGTGGCCTCTGAGGCCAACACTGCTCATATCTTCACCAAGGCCCTTCTGCCTTGTGATCATTAGCACTTCTGTACTGTGCTAGGTCTTGTGCCTACCTGGCCTCACTTGCTCACTTCTTGATCTTGTTTGTACTGTCTTCATTCTATACGTGCCCTTGCTTGTTTTACCTTTATATATATGTTGTTGCATCTGAACTGGCCTTGTGGCCCTACTCTTGTGCTCTGAGTGTGTGGTGACTTTGTGATCCACCCTGAGCTTGCTTTGCTTTGCTTGACTGGTGTTGTGACCACTTGTTCTCCCCCACTTTGCCTATGGGGGAGTGTCAAAACATTATAGCTTATACATTTGTGTAGGCTGTAGTGGGGTATCCCATATGGGGTACAACCCAATTAGGGTTAGTACTTGTACCCAAATCTTTCGTAGTTCATTCATCCATTCTCACTTCTCGTCACCTTAGGGCCCCTCCGCGGCCTCGTCTAGGCCCCTTGCGGCCCCGCTACGGCCCCGCCTAGGCCCCTTACGGCCCCTTACGGCCCCGCTACGGCCCCGTATAGGCCCCTTACGGCCCCTCCGCGGCCTCGTCTAAGCCCCTTGCGGCCCCGCTATGGCCCCGTCTAGGCCCCTTACGGCCCCTCCGCGGCCCCGTCTAGGCCCCTTGCGGCCCCGTTTCCGCCACGTGCGGCCCCGTCGCCGCCGCCAGCGGCCCCGTCGCCACCACCTGCGGCCCCGTCGCTGCCACCTACAACCACGCAGCCGCCACCTGCGGCCTCGCCGCCACCTACTGCCCCGTCGCCGTCACCTCCGGCCCTGTCGCCCTCCCATAGCGGCCCGATCACCGCTCAGCCGCTTAGCGATCGAGCCGCTGAGTAGCCCAGCAGCCGAGCCACCCACTTGCCGAGCAGCCGAGCCGCCCAGCAGCCGAGCCGCCCAGCACCCGAGCCGCCCAGCCGCCGAGCCGCCGAGCAGCCAGGCCGCCCTGCCGCCGAGCCGCCCAGCAGTCAAGCCGCCCTGCCGCCGAGCCACCGAGCCGCCCTACTGTCGAGCCGCTGCTGTTCTTACCGGGGCTCCCCGGCCCTCCTTCCTCGTACTGGTAAGCTCACTTCCTGCTAGGCCACTGTAGTCATGGCTACCTCCAGTGTCCTTACTTTTGATGCTGAGGGCCGTGCCGTTGACTTTGAGGTCTGGGTCGATGACCTCCAACTGTTTCTCCAGTGCGATAGGGCAGACGGACTATCTCTGTTCGATCTCACCTCTGGTGTCTCTCCTGCCCCGCCTGCTACTGCTGACAGTAGTGTTCGCTCACAGTGGGCCACACGCGATGCTGCTGCTCGCCTTGCCATGCGTCGCCACTTACCGACCACTGAGCGTGCACACTTTAGCCAGTACAAGAGTGCTCACACCTTGTACGACGCTGTAGTTGCACGCTACTCTTCCCCTGCCACTGCTGCACTGAGCCGCCTCATGCTACCGTACCTCTTCCCTGACCTTGCTGCCTTTCCCACAGTCGCTGACCTCATTACGCACCTGCGCACTAGTGACACTCGCTACCGCGCTGCGCTTCCTGCTGAGTTCTGCGCCAAGAACCCCCCCCCCCCCCATGTACACCACCCTCTGCTACTTAGTCACCCGCCTCCTTGACTCTCTTCGCGTAGTCAGGGACGACTTCCTCTCCGTTTGCCCCACCACTCTCACCGTTGACCTCCTCAAGAAGGGCCTCCTAGCAACAGAGAAGAGCATAGTCGCTGTAGGAGCCTCTCGTGGTGACCCTCGCACCCCCGTCTTTGAGGGGTGTTCCCCCTCCCCCCTCTTGCCCTCTGTTGCTTCTACTATTGCGGCCGACCTAGTTGGTTTCAAGTCGGTCGGCGCTGCGTCTGCCCCAAGCGGGAGACGCCGCTCTGGCAAGGGCAAGGGGGGCAAGGGCGCTGGAGGGGGTGGCGGGGGCGGTGGAGGTGGTGGTGGAGGCAGTGGAGGGGGTGGGGGTGGTGGTGGGAGTGGTGGCGGGGGTGGCGGCGGCGGCGGCAGCAATGGAGGCGGAGGAGGCGGCGGTGGTGGCGGAGGGAGCGGAGGCGGCGGAGGTGGCGGAGGAGGCCGAGGTGGAGGAGGCGGCGGAGGCGGCGGCGGCAGCAGTGGACCTGGTCGCGGCTCTGCGTAGAGGAGTGGCTCCGGCGCTAGTACTCGCCAGCAGCAGCAGAGTAGTCGTGAGACCCTGTCTCCTCAGCAAGTTCGTGAGTGGTACGCTGCGCGTCAGCACGGTGGGGGTACGGGTCCCTGCACCTACGTTCTCCGCACCCGCGACCGCGCTGGTGAGCAGTGCGGGGGCCCGCACTCCACCCAGCGCTGCTTCAGCCGCTTGACGGACGCGTGGCTTCACCAGTTCCCTGGGGCCTCTGAGATCCCTCGCTGGGGAGAGCTGTCTAGGGCAGGGGTTGCTATCTTTGATCTTGATTTTGATGCTATTCTTTCTGCCATGTATGCTGTTGATGATAGTGTTGCGGGTGACTGTTACCTGTGTGTACCGCCTGACCCGGGCATTGAGGTTGCTGCTCGAGGTGCTAGTGCGTCTACTGCCCCATGTGCTAGTGCGTCTGCTGCCCCAGGTGCTGGTGAGTCTGCGCTCTCAGGTACTACGTCGGCTCAGGCCTTACACGCCTTCACCCTTAACTCGGGTGCGTCATGCTCATTCTTTCGAGACCGCACCACTCTTACGCCGCTTAGTCGGCCGGTTGCAGTCTCCCTGGCGGACCCCTCTAGGGGTCCTGTCCTAACTAGCTTCTCCACTGTCTTAACGTGCCAGGCAGCCCCCTCTGGCATCCTGTCACGTCTCTACCTCCACTCAGTCTCTACGAACTTGATGAGTCGAGCGGACCTACAGGATAGGGGGGTCGACCAGTTCACTCCTGCAAGTCAGCGGGTGACCCAGTGCACGTGTGCTCGGACAGGCCGACACTTGGCCACGTTCACCCGTCGGCCAGGGTCGAGCCTGTACACCCTTACTACTGAGTCTCCTCCGGCTGCTGAGTCTGCCCAGGTAGCTGCGTCGAGTCAGGTGTTTGCTGCAGCGTCCTGGTCTGGTCCTGAGTCTGCTCCTTGCTCGTGTCGTCTACAGTCCCGCGAGACTCTCCTTTGGCACCACCGCCTTGGTCACCCCTCCCTGCCTCGTCTCCGAGGCATGGCCTCCCGTGTCCTGGTCTCTGGTCTCCCTCGGTCTCTCCCTCCCCTACCTCGGTCTCCCTCGTCTGGGGGTGCTACTGATGCTGCTGGAGCTGACGGTCCTGCTGGAGCTGGAGCTGAAGCTGCTGGGGGTTTTGGCGCTGGCCGTGCTGCTGGCGCTAATGCTTCTGAGGGTGCTGGAGTTGGCGCTGTTGGAGCTGGAGGTGCTGCTGGCGCTGGTGCTGCCGCTGGGGGTACTCGTGCTGTCCTTGCTGGTTCTGGAGGCGCTGCGCGGCCGAGGCCGTACTTCGTTCCGCTCCTGGAGCAGGTTCTTGGTCTCCCGCCCTCTCCTAGTCCTGCTCCTCCCTTAGAGTGTCCACAGCCTGTCCAGTCGCAGTCAAAGGTACAGCCCGCCTCCCCTCTACCTGCTCCTTCTCCCTACACTGGTCCTACTGGAGGTCTTGCTGAGCGTCGCGAGCCTGCGTCTCGTCCTGCGTTGCCTGTTTGTGCTGGTCGCACTAGTGGTCGTCCTGCGTATTCGCGTCCTCCTGCGGTCCCCGGCACACACCAGATGGCGCTGTGTCCTTCCACTGCTCCTCTGCGTGTCCTGTTGCCGTCTCCTCCAGAGTCCTCTCTTCCTACTCTTGCTGACCCAGAGTCTGACTCTCTTCGTGATGCTAGTCCTTCGGTCACGCGTCTCCTGGCTACTGTTGTCAGTGACCCTTCCTTTGAGTCCACTGATGCGTCTGCCCTAGTTGCTGAGCTTGTCGACTTCGCTGCTCGCTGTCGTATAGACTACGTTGCTAGTCTCGATGCTGAGTCTGAGTCTTTCTATCCCCCGTCCGTCAGGGGTGAGTATGCTCTTAGCACGGACGTCCTTGAGGACAGGCAGGAGGAGTTCCAGTGCTTTGCTGCTGCTTTGCCCCATCTCGTGTCCACGCAGATTGCCCCTGAGGGAGACCCGGATGCACGAGACATCCCGACTCCTCGATCGTACGCTGAAGCGATCGAGGGTCCCTACTCCTCTCAGTGGCAGTCGGCCATGGACGCAGAGATGGCTTCTTGGAAGTCCACAGGCACCTACGTTGACAAGGTTCCCCCACCTGAGGCGAACATCGTCAGTGGCATGTGGATCTTCAGGGTGAAGCAGCCGCCGGGTTCTCCGCTTGTCTTCAAGGCGCGTTACGTCGCTCGAGGCTTCAGTCAGCGGCAGGGAGTTAACTACTTTCAGACCTTCTCTCCCACCCCAAAGATGACCACTCTTCACGTGCTGCTGCACATAGCCGCTCAGTGCGAATACGAGCTTCACTATTTTGACTTCAGCACAGCTTTCTTGCAGGGCAGCCTGCACGAGGAGATCTGGCTGCGCCGCCCCCCTGGCTTCATTGGGTCGTTTCCTCCTGGTACCCAGTGGAGCCTCCGGCGGCCAGTCTACGGTCTCCGCCAGGCGCCCCGAGAGTGGTATGACACACTGAGGACTACACTTGCGGCTCTTGGCTTTGCTCCTTCTACAGCCGACCCGTCGCTGTTTCTGCGCACCGACACCTCTTTGCCGCCGTTCTATATCCTCGTGTACGTCGACGACTTGGTTTTTGCCATTGCTGACACTTCTGGACTCGCCCACGTGAAGTCCGAGCTGCAGAAGAGACACACGTGCACAGACCTGGATGAACTGCACAGCTACCTTGGCTTGCAGATCACCCGGGACAGAGCACAGCGCACCATTACCCTAACTCAGTCACACATGGTGCAGCAGGTCCTTCAGCGCTTCGGCTTCACGTACTCCTCGCCTCAGGCCACTCCTCTGTCTACTCGCCACTCGCTCTGAGCTCTGCCTTCGGATGAGTCCGTAGAGCCGAGTGGCCCGTACCCAGAGCTTGTTGGCTGCCTCATGTACCTGATGACCTGCACACGACCTGACCTTGCATACCCTCTTAGCATCTTGGCACGCTATGTTGCTCCTGGGAGACACAGACCAGAGCACATGGCTGCAGCGAAGAGGGTGTTGCGCTACGTGTGCAGTACGTCGAGCATGGGGCTAGTGCTTGGAGGGCGGCGTCGAGTGGTCCTCACAGGTCACGTAGGCGCTTCTTGGGCTGACAACCAGGCTCTCCAGCGGTCGTCACAGGGTTACACCTTCAGCCTTGGCTCCGGCTCTGTTTCGTGGCGGTCTACCCGCTCGTCTTCTGTTCTCAGCTCCAGCTGTGAGGCTGAGATCTACGCAGGGGCCATGGCTGCACAGAGTTACGCTGGTTCACCTACCTTCTGACTGACCTAGGAGAGCCGCCTCGTTCTCCTCCAGTTCTGTACGTAGACAATAAGGCCATGCTGGCCTTCTGTCGGGAGCACAGACTGGAGCACAGAACGAAGCACATTGCTCTCCGCTACTTTCTGGCTCGTGAGCTGCAGCAGCGTGGTCAGCTCCGCCTCACCTACGTGGCCTCTGAGGCCAACACTGCTCATATCTTCACCAAGGCCCTTCCGCCTTGTGATCATCAGCGCTTCTGTACTTTGCTAGGTCTTGTGCCTACTTGGCCTCACTTTCTCACTTCTTGACCTTGCTTGTATTGTGATCTTTCTATACCTGCACTTGCTTGTTTACCTTTATATATGATCTTGCATGTGAAATGGCCTTTTGGCCTTGCTCTTGTGCTTGGATTGTGTGGTGAAGTTGTGATCCACCGTGAGCTTGCTTTGCTTTGCTTGACTGGTCTTGTGACCTCTTGTTCTCCCCCACTTTGCCTATGGGGGTGTGTCAGGCATATATGCTATAGTGTGTGTAGGCTGTAGTGGGGCAGTTCATATGGGGTACAACACTTTAGGGTTTCCTACTTGTACTCTCTTTCCTGCTCAATGCATTCATTCTCGTTTCTCGTCACTTGTACCCATCTTGTTGTTAGTCAATTCATTCTCGTTTGTATTTTTGACATGGTTTCAGAGCAGATCCTAGCCTAGGACCGATTCTGTAGGGCCCACCGAGTAGCGCTACCCCACCCGTCGCGCCGCCGTGTTAGTGCCGCACTGCCTTCCCTTGCCCTGCATTGCGCTGCCTGTGCACGCCCTGCCCTGCCCTGCCCGCGTACCACGCCATGCCACCTTGCCCGTGCGTTGCCTGCCACAGGGCGTCCTGCCCTGCCCGCTCGCCACCCACCGCTCCGCGCCCTACTTTGCACCCGCGCAGCCTACTACTACGCGCCCTGCCCTGCCCACGCGCCGCCCGCCGCAGCGCGCTCTGCCCTGCCTGCGCGTCGCCCGCCGTCTCGCGCTCTGCCCTGCCCACGCGGCCCTGCCTTGCCCGCGCGCCGCCCGCCGCAGTGCGCCCTGCCCTGCCTGCACGCCGGCCACCTGGCGCCTTGCCCTGCCCGCGCGCCACGCCGCCGCGAGCCCTATCCTGCCCGCATGCCGTGTTGCTGCGCGCTCTGCCCTGCCCGCGCGCCTGCCCTGCCCGCGCGCCGCGCCGCTGCGCGCCCTGCCTTGCCTGCGCGCCACGCCGCCGTGCACCTTGCCCTGCCGCGCGCCCTGCCCTGCCGCGCGCCGCTCGCTCCTGCGTCGCTTCCCGCACACCTGAGCTCGCTTCTAGCACGCCTGAGCTCGCTTTGCGCACACCTGAGCTCGCTTACCGCACACCCGATTTAGCTTCCCGCACGCCTTAGCTCACTTCCCGCACGCCTGAGCTCGCTTCCCGCACACCTGAGCTCGCTTCCCGCAAGCCTCGAGCGTGCCTACTCTGCTGCTCGTGCACCACCCTACTCTGCCCGCTATGGTGACTCTCAGCGTCCTCACCTTCGATCAGGAGGGCCGCCCGATAGAGTTCTTGTCTTGGCTCGATGACTTACAGCTGTTCTTACTTAGCGACTCTAAGGACGGTATTTTGCTGTTTGACCTCACTTCTGGCACCTCGCCCGCCCTTGCCGGCACAGCTGACAGTGTACCTTGCTCCCAGTGGATTAGTCGTGACGCTACTCCTCGCCTAGCTATTCGCAACCACATGCCGTTAGCCGAACGCGCTCACTTCGGACAGCACAAGACTGCGAAAGCACTGTACGACACTGTAGTCGCTCGTTACTCCTCCCCGGCCACTGCTGCTCTAGGCCACCTTCTCCTGCCCTACCTGTTCCCAGAGCTGTCTGCCTTTCCCACAGTAGCCGACCTCGTCACTCACCTTCGTACTAGTGACACTCGCTACCGCGCTGCGCTTCCCGCCGAGTTTCTCACCAAGAACCATCCTCCCATGTACATCACTCTCTACTTCATAGTAACCCACCTCCATGACTCTCTTAGCGCTGTCAGGGACCTCCTTCTAGCCGTTGACCCCACCACCCTTACTGTCGACTTGCTCGAGAAGCACCTCCTTGCAGCTGAGACTATCATAGTTGCTGTAGGCGCTTCTCGTGGCAATCCTTGCCCTCCCTTCTTTGAGGAGTGTTCGCCCTCCCCACTTCTCCCCTCAGTCGCCTCTGCTGCAGCTGTTGACTACCTTCGTGCTAAGGAGGTAGGAGCTACGTCTGCCCCTAGTGGGAGGCACCGCAGCGGCAGGGGCAGGGGAGGCAGGGGCGGTGGGGGCAGCAGAGGTGGAGGCGGTGGTGGGGCCGGTGGAGGCGGTGGAGGGGGCGGCGGTGGCGGAGGGAGTGGTAGTGGCAGTGGTGGTGGCAGTGGCGGTGGCAGTGGCGGTAGTGGTGGTGGCAGTGGTGGTGGCAGTGGTGGTGGCAGTGGCGGTAGTGGCGGTGGCAGTGGCGGTAGTGGCGGTGGCAGTGGTGGCGGCAGTGGGAGTGGAGGCGGTGGCAGTGGTGGCGGCCGGGGTGGTGCGAGTCAGAGGGGAGGCCTGGGCGGTGGTCAGAGGCAGCAGCAGCGTCAGCTTTCGCCCCAGGAGCTACGTGAGTGGTTTGCTCAGCGTGGGGCGGCTGGGGGTAGTGGTCCCTGCCCGTATGTAATTCGCACAGGTGACCGCACTGGTCAGACATGCGGAAAGCTCCACACCCAGTACCGCTGCTTCTCTCGTCTTACCGATGCCTTCCGCACAGAGTTTCCACACGCGGCTGAGCTCCCCCGTTGGGCAGAGCTGCTTAAGTAGGGTGTAGACTTCTTTGCTCTTGATTATGATGCTCTCCTATCTGCCATGTATGCATTGACTGTTAGTGCTGAGGGTGACTGTTACCTATGTATGCCGCCAGACCCAGGTATAGAGGCTGCTGCTCTAGGTGCTAGTAAGTCTGCTGCTCTAAGTGCTGGTGAGTCAGCTCTCTCTGGTACTGCGTCTGCTTCAGCCTTGCACACCTTCACGCTTGACTCAGGTGCTTCCCCTTGTTTCTTTCGCGACAGTACCACACTCACACCACTCTCTGCACCTGTTGCTGTCTCTCTGGCTGACCCCTCTTGGGGCCTAGTCCTTGCACGTTCCTCCATTGTTCTGCCTTGTCCGGCGGTTCCGTCTAGCTCACTGTCAGGTCTCCACCTCCCCTTGTTCTCTACGAACTTGGTGAGCAATGCAGCCCTTCAGGATCAGTGGGTTGATACCTTCACCTCTGGAGGACAGCGTGTGGCGATCTGTACGTGCTTTTGGACTGCTAGGCACCTGGCCACGCTCACCCGTTGGCCTGGGTCGAGTATGTATACAGTGACTACTACGCCTCCTTTGGTAGCTGCGTCTACGTCTGCGTCAGGTCAACTTGCGGCACCTTGCTCGTGTCGCATCCTATCGCACCAGACGCTCCTTTGGCACCACCGCCTTGGTCACCCCTCTGTGGCACGCCTCCGTGGCATGCACTCCCGTCTCCTTGTCTCTTGTCTTCCTAGGTCTCTGCCTCACCTCCCACCCTTGCCTGCCCCTCCCTGCCTTCCCTGTGTCGAGGGGCGGCAGCGCGCTGCTCTTCACTCCTCCTCGTTCCCCCCGACAAAGGCTCCCCTGCAGACTTTCCATTTGGACGTGTGGGGCCCAGCCCGCGTTCGTGGAAAGGGCCACGAGCGGTACTTTCTGCTAGTAGTTGAGGACTAGACGTTATATAACGGTCTTCCCCTTGCGCCGCAAGGAGGAGGTCCCTGCTGTTCTGATCCCTCGGATCCACGCTGTTCGTCTCCAGCTCCGCGAGTGGTTCGAGACGGACCTTCCCGTCCTGCGTCTGCACTCTGACAGAGGTGTGAGTCTTCCTCCGACCTCTTGCGGGAATTTCGTCGTGGGGAGGGCATTTGCCAGACGTTCACGCTTGCGACCTCTCCGCAGCAAAATGGGGTTGCTGAGCGCCGCATTGGCTTAGTCATGGAGGTCGCTCGTACCTCCATGATCCATGCGGCTGCCCCCTATTTTCTGTGGCCGTTTGTAGTCCAGTACGTTGCACATCAGCTCAACCTCTGGCCCCGTGTCTCCTTGCCAGAGACCTCGCCCACACTGCGTTGGACGGGGGAGGTTGGTGATGCGTCGGTGTTCCAGGTCTGGGGATGTCGTGCTTTTGTCCGCGATACCTCCGCGAACAAGCTCTCCTCCCGTGCCGTTCCCTGCGTCTTCCTTGGCTTTCCCCCTGACGCGCCTGGCTGGCAGTTTTACCACCCCACCTCGCACCGAGTCCTATCCTTTCAAGATATCACGTTTGACGAGTCGGTTCCCTTTAACCGTCTCTTCCCATACCGCTCTGCCCCTCTCCCCCCCCCCCTCCGCCGCTCTTCCTCGCACCATGTCCTTCTCAGGTAGACCCCCTCCCCCCTCAGGGTCCTGCTCCCTTAGGTGTGTCCCAGGTAGACCTTGTCGAGCTTGTCGAGGTAGCTGTCGACTCTAATGCTGCTAGGGGTCCTACGTCTGGGGGTACTGAGCCTGCGGGTTCGGAGCCTGCGGGTGCTGAGCTTGAGCGTGCGGAGCCTGGGGGTGCTGAGCCTGAGGGTGCGGAGCGTGGGGGTGCTGAGCCTGAGTGTGCGGAGCCTAGAGGTGCTGAGCCAGGGGGTGCTGAGCCCGAGTGTGCTGGGCCTAGAGGTCTGTTGGGTGTCGTATAACGGCGGGAGTCTCTCTCTCTCCACTACAACTGCACGAGTGGTTTGCTCCGCGCTGGAGCCTCCGGAGTGGTGCTGCTGGAGCTGAGGGGCCTACCGCTGGAGGCCCAAATGCAAGAGGTGCTACTGGAGCTGGAGCTGCTAGAGGTGCTGGAGCTGCTGGTTCCGGAGGTGCTCGTACTGGAGGTACTGGAGCTGCTGGAGCTGGAGGTGCTGCTGGAGCTGGAGCTGCTGGAGGTGCTCGAGCCGCTAGTTACGGAGGTGCTTGTACTGGAGGAACTGAAGCTGCTGTTCCCGGAGGTGCTGCTGGAGCTGGAGCTGCTGGAGATGTTGGAGTTGCTGGTCTAGGAGGTGCTCGTACTGGAGGTACTGGAGCTGCTGGAGCTGGGGGTGCTGCTGGAGTTAGAGCTGCTGGAGGTACTGGAGTTGCTAGAGCTAGGGGTGCTGCTGGAGCTGGAGCTAGGGGTGCTGCTGGAGCTGGAGCTGCTGGAGGTACTGGAGCTGGTGGTCCTGCAGACGTCAGAGCTGCTAGAGGCCCTAGAGCTGGAGGTGCTGGCCCTTGGGGTGCTGGTGCTGGGTTCTGGAGGAGCTGTGCGGCCGCGACTGTACTTCGTTCCACTGCTTCAGCAGGTTCTTGGTCTCCCGCCTTCTACTCGACTTACTCCTCCCTTACTATGTCCACCGCCTCACCACTCACATCCACATCTACTACCAGCCTCCCCACTGCCGGCTCCCTCTCCTTACACTGAGCAGCCCAGGGGTCTTACAGATTATCGTGAGCCTGCGTCTCGTCCTGCGTCGCCTCTTCGCGCTGTTCGCACTAGTCATCGTGTTCCGTGTCGGCGTCCTCCTCCTGTCCCCGGCATGCACCAAATGGCACTTCGTCCTTCCTTTGTTCCACTACGTGTCCCTCTGCCGTCTCCTCATGTGTCCTCTCTTGCTGATGGACCAGACCCTAAGTCTGACTCACTTCGTGCTGCTAGTCCTACTGTCACACGTCTTCTTACCCTTCCTTTAAGTCCACTGTTGCATCTGCCCTAGTTTCTGAGCTTCTTGACTTTGCTGCCGCCTATCGCCTAGAATACGCCGCTAGTCTTGTTGCTGGGTCTGAGTCTGTCTGTCCTCCGTCCGTCGGGGGTGAGTGTGCTCTTGGCACGGACGTCCTTGAGGATAGGCAGGAGGACTTTGAGTGCTTTTCAACTGCTGTACCTCATCTCGTGTCCATGCTGATTGCACCTGAGGGAGACCCGGATGCACCAGACATCCCGGCCCCGCGCTCTTACGCAGAGGCGATAGAAGGTCCCTACTGCTCTGAGTGGCACACAGCCATGGACGCAGAGATGGAATCCTAGAATTCCACAAGCACTTACGTGTGTCAGAACATTATAGCTTAGCCACGTTCACCCGTCGGCCAGGGTCGAGCCTGTACACCCTTACTATTGAGTCTCCTCCTACTGCTGAGTCTGCCCAGGTAGCTGCATCAAGTCAGGTGTTTGCTGCGGCGTCCAGGTCTGGTCTTGAGTCTGCCCCCTGCTCGTGTCGTCTACTGTCCAACCAGAATCTCCTTTGGCACCACCACCTTGGTCACCCCTCCTTGCCTCGTCTCCAAGGCATGGCCTCCCGTGTCCTTGTCTCTGGTCTCCCTCGTTCTCTCCCTCCCCTTCCTACGGGGCCTGGCCCTACCTGCGTCCCCTGCATCGAGGGGCGACAGCGCGCCGCCCCTCACTCCTCCGAGTTTCCTCCGACAGAGGCTCCGCTGCAGACTCTCCACATGGACGTGTGGGGCCCCGCCCGTGTCAGTGAGCAAGGACGCGAGCGGTACTTTCTGCTGGTGGTTGACGACTACTCGCGTTACACCACAGTCTTCCCCTTGCGCAGCAAGGGTGACGTTACTGAGGTGTTGATCGACTAGATCCGCGCAGCTCGTCTCCAGCTCAGAGAGAGTTTTGGCTCCGACTTTCCTGTTCTGCGTGTGCACTCGGAGAGAGGCGGGGAGTTTTCCTCTGCCCGTCTGGGAGCCTTTTGTCGTGCACAGGGCATCCGCCAGACCTTCACGCTTCCGGCCTCTCCACAGCAAAATGGGATTGCTGAGCGCCGCATTAGCATGGTCATGGACGTCGCTCGTACGTCCATGATGCATGCGGCTGCCCCCCATTTTCTGTGGCCGTTTGCGGTTCAGTACGCAGCGCATCAGCTCAACCTTCAGGCCCGGGTCTCCTTGCCAGAGACCTCCCCCGCCTTGCGGTGGACCGGGAAGGTTGGCGATGCATCTATGTTTCAGGTCTGGGGATCTCGGGCGTTTGTCCGCGACTTGTCTGCGGACAAGCTGTCCCCTCCTGCTGTTCCCTGCGTCTTTCTTGGTTTCCCACCTGACGCGCCTGGGTGGCAGTTTTACCACCCCACCTCGCGCCGTGTTCTATCTTCCCAGGACGTCACCTTTGACGAGTCGGTGCCTTACTACCGTCTCTTCCCCTACCCCACTGTGCCCCTCCCCTCGCCGCCGCTCTTCCTTGTGCCAGGTCCTCCCTCGGTGAACCCCCTCCCCCCTCAGGTGTGTCCCAGGTAGACGCAGTCGAGCCTGTCGAGGTAGCTATTGACTCTAGTGCTGCTAGAGGTGCTGAGTCTGGGGGTGCTGAGACTGGGGGTGCTGAGCTTGGGGGTGCGGAGTCAGGGGGTGCTTAGCCTAGGGGTACTGAGCCTGGGGGTGGTGAGCCTGGGGGTGCGGAGCCTGGGGGGGCTGGGTCTGCTCGTGTAGCCGTCGGCGGTGCTTTGACGAGGCGGGAGCCGCTCTCTCCACAGGAGCTGCGCGAGTGGTTTGCCTGCCGCTGGAGACGTGCTGCTACGAGTGGGGGTGCTACTTGGGCTCCTGGAGTTGGTCCTGCTGGAGCTGCTTGCGGTGCTGGTGCTGCTGGAGCTGGAGCTGCTGGGGGTGTTGACGCTGGTGTTTCTACTGGCG